CGGGTGCCAGCCAGGTGGGGTGAGCGGTGGTGTCGCCGGCCCGGCCCGCACCAGTGCTGACCACTGCTCCACGGAGGAGACCAGCAGCACGCCTGGGAACCCGCACACAGGCACACCCCAGACTTGTGAACGCTGTTCCCTGGGGTTTATGACAGCTCACTACAGGCTCTGGGGAACGGGTCCTGAGAGTTTGGGGGTGGCACTTTTACAGAACGTGGAGCAGGTTTCTGAAGAGCAAACCATACAGTCTTCCGTTCACTGTTCCAGGCCAGCAGGAACGATCACGCTGTAGGTTTTCAGGATCATGCCAACAAGGGCAGATTGTTTTTTATGGCACGGGACATTGAGGCCAGAGTCTTTGCACTGAGCTACATCCACAGCCCTTTTAACATTTTTATTTCAAAACAGGATCTCACCAATTGCTGAGATGCCTAGGCTGGGCTTGAATTATTTTTGGCTTGAACTTTTGACCCTCCTGCCTCAGCCTCCTACAGCGCTGGGATGACAGATATGCACCACCACACTTGGCTTAAAATTAGAATTTCTGAGTTTTATTACACTATTTGGTAAAAATTTGCATCTTCAAACATAATCATGCAGTAGCCTAAACCACAGGGAATAATTACCAACTGCTAAAATTACTCTTGCCAGTTGAGTAATGCTATTTGCTCTGGTTTGAGACTCTAAGGAAGACCACGTGGCCTCATTTTCTAGAAAACACAGGATTAGGACACGGGGATGGACCATGGTGTGAATGTTGAAGGGTCGTCACTGGGAATCTGGAGATGAAAAATAGGAAGACAGTCGTTAGTAACTAACTACTCCAACGTGAGAAATGTTACAGTTCAGGGACAAATCATCACTTCAGAAGAAAGAACAAGTCAATGGCCGTTTTACTCTTATCAGATGGTGTGGTTTTCATGTTTCCCTCCTTTAGTTACAGATCTTTCCTCAAGCCACGTTTGTCTGGCCTTTGGAGCCCGGGCTCAGCAGGACCTCGAGAAAGCGCGCTCCCGACCTGGGGGACGCGCTGGGGGCGGGTTGCACCGGTGCCGCGCAGACACCCAGGTCGGAGCGCGCACGCTCACACCGCCGCTTGCTGATTCAGAGCAGCTGGAGAAAGGAGACGCCTTCTCCTGCGAGCAGTTATTGATGTAAAGGGTGTGCCCGGGGCCTGCCGGTTCCATTTGTTATCATTGTTAGTATGCTTAACAAATAGTTTCCGTGTGATTAACCAGATTAGATGTGTGACGAACATAATTTGGTTATTGAGGTTATCAAAAGGGCACATCAAGCCCGCATGGTGGCACATGCCTATGGTCCCAGCACTCGGGAAGCCAAGGCAGGAGGATCGCTGTGCGTTGGAGGCCATCCTGGACTATACAGTGAGACCTTGTCTTAAAAAAAAAACAGAAACAAAAAAACTAAAAACAAAGGCAAACACTCAACATGGCCTGTCAACTGCATTTTCTTAAAATGTTGAAAGAAGCAGCCTTCCACGGCCTTTCATGAGCAGCCCTGCTAGTGTGCTTCCCCTGGGTCCGAAAGTCTGAGGGCCCTTGTGTGCGGGGTGTCGCTCTGTGGCAGCTTCAGAGCCACGGGAGGACCGCAAGCCGGTGGGGAGAGCCTCAGCTGCCCGTCTGCGCTGCGGGAGCCGAACCGGCGTGACCTGCGGCCCTTACCATGTCGGTGAACTGGTCCTCGCACGACATCCGGATCCACTCGGGGCTCGCCGGGCTGCCCAGGGTGACGGTCTCGCCCAGCCCCCTCTCTCTGCGGGCGGTGGCCACGGCATCTGCGATGGCGAACAGCACCGAGGCACCCAGGAACATCGCTGCCTCGCCCAGGCCCTGAGCAGGCGCAGGGCCGAGAAGGTGTGCTCAGGGCTGACCTTCGTGGGTACACACTCACCCACGCACACGCACTCAGGCACACGGAGAAACTGTCACATGCGTGCAGCACCCCAGAGAACCCAGATACAATACTCAGGGACACACACTCACATGCTTTCACACACAAACACACAGAACACTCAGACACCCACACACCAAGGCATTTTCACACAGACACATATACTCACCCATCCACATACTCAGACACAGACACACTCAGACAACCACACACCCAGACCAACAGACATAACACACACTCATAGACACCCACACATCCGGACACATACTCAGAGATGCTTTCACACACAGACACACCCACTCAGACATCCAGACACTCACAGATACACTTTCACACATGCAAACACACCGAGATACCCACACTTCCAGACACAGACACACCCAGGTACCCCCCCACAGATATGCACATAGGCACGCGGGTGCATCAGATATCCACACACCCACTCACAGACACACACACTCAGAAATACCCACATACTCAAACACACGCCCACAGGCACACTCAAATACACCCACACACTAGACATACACAGGCATGTGTTTTCACACACATGCTGTCACACTCACGGGCACACCCCCTACACTCAAAGATACCCACACATTCAGACATTCACACTACACAGAACATGCATTCACACCCATGCTCACATAGATACACACCCACTCACACACACACACTTACAGACACGCTCACACACACATATATCCCCGTATATGCTTCCTCCACCCACACATTCACACTGACACATCCACATTCTCACAGGCACACACAGTCATACACACTCACACAGACGCACACACTCACCCCCTCTTCCTGCCCCATCACCCCCAAGCGGAGTGTGGCTGAGTCCCCTGAAGAACCTCGCCAGCCGTCGGTCTTTCCTAGCCCTGAGCTGCAGCACCCCTGGCCGTTGCCACCTCAGAGCAGAGGCTGGGGAGGGCCTGGCTGGAGCCCGCTGAGGGGGTGAGAGGAGGAGGTGCTCTGGGTGGCTGGGCTCCCCCAGAGCCTCAGTGTTTGCAAGGTGACGGTAACTGGCTTGCTGCAGGAGTTGAGGCCCGGTTGGCGGTCACTGGGCTGGGCCCACACGTCCATCTCTCTCCAGGCTCCTCCCTCGCACCCTGCTTCCTGCCACCATGAGGTGAGCAGCTCTCCTCCCCAGACCCTTCCCCAGGCTGCCTGCAAGGACTAAACCTTCTAACACGTGAGTCTGGGCCAACCTCTCCTTCAGAGCTGTCCAGGCGTTCTGTCCTGGCAGTGAGGGGAAGTGACTGAGATACAGCACCGACACCCAGACTTACCTTGGAGGAGTAGATGGCTATGGGGTTTCGGGAGTGCACTAGGGTGACGTGGAACTCTTCTGGAATCTCGGTGACAGTGGGGATTTTGTATTCATTGGTGCCCCGAGAATGCAGCATGCCTTGTGGGGAGTATTTCAGTTCTTCTGTGGTGTACAGTCCCATTCCCTGGACAAAGGCCCCCTCGATCTGCAGCCAGACATTTCCGGGTCACAGGCATGGCCACACCCAGCTGATTTCCAGACTATTGTGCTGTACTCTAGGAGAAGCCCCTTTGAAGCAGCATCTGCCTGAAGGTTATAAACACTGAAGGAGATTTATAGCTTGTGTTTTGTTGCAACTTCAAGTTTTGGAATAAAGTAAGCAAAGTTAAGTGCTAGATTAGAAAATAACAGCGCCTGACCCTAAAGGAAAGGCTCACAGTCCCAGGGTTTGGTCTGACAGCACCAGTTTTCTTTCCTTTTCTGATGGGGTTTTCGGGTGGAGGGTTTCCAGGTCATAGTGCTCCCGCCTTGTTCCTCTGCCTCAGTGAGGGAGAGGCAGGGTCAGCTGGGAGGAGAGGAGCTGTGAAGACGGGAGGCAGAGCATGGGCCGCTGCAGCCGTCAGCCATACAGATTTAGGGTCCACTTGGGGCTGTGCAGGCCTGGGCCTGAGCTGGCCTGGGGGACCTGCATTCCCAAGCATGCTGCAGGGCTCCGGGCCGGCAGGTGCGGGGCAGACAATGTCTTGTGCTGAGAAACAAGGCAGTGCTGCCCCAGGAAAGGTTGGGTGTAATTCCAAAAAAAATTTTTTTTTTGAGACGGGGTCTCACTATGTAGTTGAGACTGACCTGGAACTCACTATGTAGCCCAGGCTGGTCTCGGACTCAGTGATCCTCCTGCCTCAGCCTCCCAAGTGCTGGGATTACAGGAGTGTGCCACCATGCCTGGTTTTTTTTAACTCCAAATTTGAAAAACCTCTGGAGGAGTTGAATCAGAATTAAATTCAGCGAAAGGGGAAAATTGTGTTTAAACATTTCTTTTTCTCTGATATGTCTCCAAATTGTGAAGTTTGTTTAAATTCAATGTTAATATGAGCATCAGGGTAACTTTGTCTCTTTGCATCTGTATGCTGTCCCAAATACGAACACAGTGTTCACTGAAGGGAAATCAGGAAGCGGGATGGATCGCTATTCCTGCCAGGTAACCTTCCCGACCTTTCTGCATCTATCCAGCAGTGTGTGTGCATGTGTGCATGCGTGTGTAACAGGCGATGGTGCAAACATGCTGGGTGCTGGCCTCTGAGCCCGGCTGCCTGGTGGCGCTGACCGGGGCCCTGGGAGGGCAGGTTCTGGAATCACCCACCTGGCCAATATCTACGGCTGGGTTGACGCTGAAGGCAGCATCCATGAAGATGTCAGTCCTCAGGAGCTGCGTGCGGAAGAGGAGGACAGCGTCACCTGCCGAGATCGGCCTCTGAGGCTGCGCCCAGCCCACTTTCCCAGCTGTGGTCCTGTGGCGAAGGCCCATGTGCCATCCGCACCTTCTGGGCCCCGGATAGGCAGTCGATCTCGACCTCAGTGCAGGCTGCTCCATACACGTAGTAGGGGAAGGCGTCCCCCTGCTCCCTGTCCCAGTCCATGTTGGTCTGGTAGCCTCTGCAGAGGACCCAAGTGAAGGCAGGTGTCGGCTGGTGTGGCCTGGGCTGGCGGGAGGGGACTGCAAGGCGAGGGCTGGAGCAGCGTCCCCACGAGAGGACCATGGCCGAGGGAGACCCTGGGTCTGGGCTGCACCAGCACTCGGCATAGGCACAGCCACAGGCCTGGGCGTGCGCAGGCAGCAGGTCCTCCTGTGTGGCTGCCACCCCAGGTCCTGGGCTGTTCCCTGCCCATGGCCCCTCTCTTTGTCAGCCTGAGGTCCTCGAATGAGGACCCTGCCTGCACCCTCCCTGCCCGGGCGAGGAAACCCCAGCCAGCGCCCTTCACCTGAAATAGCCGGTGGCCGAGAGGCTGATGGATTCCTCGAAGGCCTCTTTGATCTGGAAGACACGACTGGTTACAGGAAGCAGGAGTTTGGGGAAGGTGGGCAAACAGCTTCAGCTGTCTGAAAACGGCCACGCCGATCTCTGGTGGCCGTGGCTTGGCATCTGCTTTGCCTCCTGTGAGCCTCCCTGGGGGCTCTGTGGGGACACAGCCCCCAAGGGCCCACAGCGGCTGCCAGCCATGCCGTGCTCTGCCTGGGCTGGCGCAGTGTGAAACGCCGCTGCTTGTATCTGACGTGGGGGGGCGTGTTCACACACGTGTGTACTCAGTGTGCACATGGGGCGGACAGAGGCGGGTCCCAGGATGAACGCAGTCGTCACACACTACCGATGGTACCAGACAGGGAGAATTAGGGGAAGACCACGCACTGGAGGCTGCACACGTGGTTCCTTCCGTGGGGTCGCAGATGTGACTGCCCGTCTCTGCGGGATGTGCGAGCTTCCCCGTGGAGCGGATGGGGAGGCTGGGCGATAATGACCACTGCCACCCACAAAAACAGCCGTGATTGCAATGCTGACTGGAGACACAGCGTGGCCCTCTGCACCGAGGGCGGCTGTCGTTCCCAGAGTCCAGGCGGCTGTGCCGGGACTCGCTCTGCATGTTCTCCACACACAGACGCCGTCGCTGCCTTCTGGAAAAGTGGAAATTCTCCTCCCTGGGCTTCTCCCGGGCCGGCACAGCCTTCCCCACTCACCCACTCCTCCCATGTCCCTTGAGGGTTTCTCCTGATGACGGGCTGAAGACGGGTCATGAGGGTTTGGCAGGCATTCTAGAAATAAATATTTGAAATGACATCAGAAATAAAAGGCACAGGGCAGGAGGTTTTCCCTTGTACTGCGGTTGAACCCAGATGTTCCACCACAAGCGACATCCCCAGCCCTGTTTATTTTTCATTTTGAGAGGAAGTCTCCCTAAGTTTCTCAGCCTGGCCTTGCATTTCCAATCCTCCTGGCTCAGCCTCCCAACTCGATGGGATTCCAGGTGTGCATCATCGTGCCCGGCTAGAGACTGAATCGCTTTACACTAGATCTTAGCCAAAAGGCCAAGAAGTGACTGAAACAATTATTTTTATGTGCACTTTTTTTTTTTTTTTTTTTTTTTTTTTTTTTTTTTTTTTTTTTTTTGGTACTGGGGATTGAACTTGGGACCTTGTGCTTGTGAGGCAGGTGGCGGAACCACTGGGCTAAATCCCTGGCCCTTATATGCACTGTTTTGGGTGCAATCATCAGCACTGTCCACTCAAATACCTTCCCGAGCCCCACACAGACACCATAACCACAACTCCTGGCCTCCAGGTGTGTGAGAGGAGAGGGACAGGCTGGGCAGCGCCCTGGCCTGCTCAGAAGCGTCCATGAGGGAGGAGCTGGGTCTCAGGGACACCAGCAAGGGTGACCTCACTGCCTCTGTGTGAGGCCACCCTCCTCAGACTCTGGGGTGACTGAGCCTCGGCACTGGGGGAGGGAGATGCCACCAGGCTGGGGGACGAAGTCTGTGCCTGACCCCCAACGGTCCTGTGAGGTCAGTGGGGCTCGTGTCCCTGGCTCTGCAGAAGAGGGATGGATTCTCGGGGCTGTTGACGCCGGCCCAGGCTCGCCGCTGGCCCAAGCTGGCACCACCCTGCATTGCTCTGGTGTGAGGGGCGGGAGAGAGAGGTTCTCTTCCTGAGGGGGGAAGCTCCAGAGCGGCAGCTTTCAGGCGCCACGAGAGGGACCTGGGAGCCCCAGCCAAGGCGGCACCAGTGCCCAGGGGCCCCTGGCCACACATCACTAGGGCCCAGCACAGCGGGACAGCCGGGCTGGGACCTGGCTGTCAGTGGTGAGTCAGGGCCCGCGCCTGACCTGCCCAGGCCTCCCTCCTTCCTGGGTGGCCGGGAACGGGGGAAGTCACCTGCACGGCCTTCCCGTTGACATCTGTGCCCATGGAGCCCGCGGTGAAGACGGCATTAGGCACTGTCACGGTGCTGGTTTCCGAGAGGTGGATGTAGGATGTGGGGATGCCCAGCTCCCGACTGGCCACCTGCCAGGAAAAAGTGCAGGTTCAGTCAGCCTCAAGCCCCTTTCTGAGTGAAAACCTTTGCGTTCTTGCTGGAACTGATTATGAAGCTCAGCTGTCCTGCCACTGTGACAAAGATTGAAGTGGGGTTCAAATAGCACCACCGAAGACATGGTTCTCTTTCTTCCGGGGCACGTGATCACCCACTCTGTGCTGCCAGGGACACCGTGGGACCCCAGCCAGCAGGCTGTGTGACTTAACAGCTGTTTTTCCCTCACTGGATTTGGGTGTAAAGTCACAGTATGTTCAAAAAGGCCCTGCGGATTTTTGTGATTTCCTAATTCCAAGAACTCTGCTATTCCCTCCATACAGAATCTTCTATTTCTCACTGAGAGAGAGGCTTTGTTTTATATGTTTTTTTATTCAAATATCTTATTCAAAAAATTCTTATTTTACATTTAGGGCCAGGGATTTAGCTCATTGGTGCCGCTGCCTGCAAGTGGAAGGTCCCGAGTTTGATCCCTGGTACCAAAAAAGAAAGACAACAAAAACATTTAAAGAAGGGAAACTTTCCTACTATAATAACTCCTTGTTTTTCAACAGTATAAGGCACACACTTGATGGAATCAGCACACTGACGGCCAGTTCTATGCAGTGCTTTCTTGAGTAGATTGTGAACCCGAGAACGCACTTTTTCATCAGATTGAACACATTTGTGTCTCCTTGACGATCTGGATGGACACATTACTGCTCTGAGCAGTTGCCAAAAAGTTGTACAGTATTTTATCTTTGAAAACTTGAACCATGTTTTTGAACAGACGTGCATATTGGGCTCCTTCGTGTGCAGGGGGACAGTGTATTTCCTCAGCCCTGGTCCCCACTTTTCCCTCCCCAGGTCCCTGGATCCAGGATGAGCTTTTGAACTGACTCATGCATTCAGTGAGAGCGGATTTCTCCGGATCAAAAGGGGAATGGCTTGTATACTAACAGCAAGACCTGCGCTCTTCACAGTGGTGCACGTGGGCAGGCCTCCGTCTCACCTGGACCATTTTGGTGTGCAGGCCTTGTCCAAGTTCACAGCCACCATGGGTCAGCAAGACTGAGCCGTCCAGATAGATGTGGACCAGAGCCGCTGCCTAGAGGAAACAAGTGGTGATGGTCTGGCAAGAGCTGCGGCTGAGCATTGCTGCAAGGTTAGCTTAGGGTGCTGGACAGACAACTCCTCATTGACCCAACCTCTCTTTTTTCTGTTCTGGAGAAGAAAGCCATTATTGGTGGTTACAGACAGGAAACCCCAAGCCGGACAGCCATGGAGGTAAAAGTGTTGTCTCTTCCCCACCAGCCTGCATATACCAGACCCTCTCGTGGTTGCCTTGGGAATCAACTTTCCACCTGTACAGCACTTGTTCTTTCTCCCTGGATGTGGAAATTAATTTAAAGCCAATGGAACCCACATGAGTCCATTTCCAGGCACACTTCTGGTTGTTAGAGGAACCAGGAGAATCTGAGGTCTCTCCATGGTACCCAGACACCATCTTTCAGGTCATGGTGCAGAGGGGAGATGGGGCCCAGCCTGGAAATTCCAACTCGATGTCCGAGAGGCAGAGCCCAGGTACTCATGCTTTCAGCTTCCAGCTGATTTTGATGTCTGCTGGCTTGAGATCCACTGACCTGGTCCAAATTATTCTGAGTGTACTGGGAAAGAGGAGCTTAGACACTTGGCCAGCTTTGGCTGCCCCGTGGGTGGCAGGGAGGGGCTGGGATCCACAACTCCTGACTTGAGCCTAGTGTTCTTTTTTTTTTTTTTTTTTTGGTATTTTGAGACAAGTTCTCACTGTGTAGTTGAAACTGACCTGTAACTCACTATGTAGCCCAGGCTGGTCTCAAACTCATAGGGATCCTCCTGCCTCAGCCTCTCAAGGGCTGGGATTTCAGGCGTGCACCACCACGCCCGGCTGAGCCCAGTGTTCTTGAGGAGCAGGCCACACTACCTCTTCAAATCCACCTCGTGTCCTTCCCTGGGGCAGGTTGTTTTCCTGTAAGGGGCCTTGAATGTGTACGGGGCTCCAGAATGCAGGGGGCAGGAGTCTGGGGTGCATGGGTCTGTGGTGTGCTAGGATTTTTCTTTAGAGCTATGCCCAGGACACACGTGCAGCCATGCTGGGACCCTGCTCTGTACTGCTGAAGGCCCAGGCCTAGGCGGAGCCATGCCCAGAACGCATCACTAGAAAGCTGACACTACCTAAGGTGATCTCCACATTAGCAACAATCTTTCCATGACACCTGGCCCACAGCCCTCAGCACACACGAACACACACACACACAAACACACACGAACTATGAGAAAACAAGGCAACAAAATACCTCCCAAGACTCCCAACTCCCCAAAGCTGACTCAGGGGACATCAATGGGGGAGGAAATCAAAAGCCAAAAACTGAATTACACAAAGTGAAAAAAGAGGAGATAAAAAAAGAAACAGATCAATAAGGTGCCTGGCAAGCTCCAAGATGATCTAACTAAACAGATAATGAGCTCCATAAAATGATCAGTGAGCTTATGGAAGACAGTGAGCTAAACAAAACAATGAAAAGCATGAATGATCATTTTAGCAAAGAAGTAGAGTCCACTAAAGGTACCAAATAGAAATCCAGGGGATAAAAATTCTACTGAGAGCACAAAGGAAGGGACCAATGTGAAGACAGTGTCAGGACTAGAAGGCAGGGCTGGAGTAGGTGTCCGTATTCTCAGAGATATCTTAATAACAAGAGAATGTCGAAAATGGTCAACAGCTGCTATATGATACAAAAAAGTCTAATCTGACTTGGATTTAGTGAAAAAGCAGAAGACAGCACATTAAGAAAAAGCCTGTTACAGAAATAATAGAAAACTGTCCAAATATGGGAAAATAATTTAATGTATAGAGAAGCAAGGCACAGAACCCAAAGAGCCAGGATCAGAAGAAAACTTCATGATGCATCATAGTCAGAACCCTGTAAGTCCAGCACAAGGACAGAGTCTGAAAATTTGATAGAAAAAAGCCATAACTCACTTACAAAGATAAACTCATTAGCATTACAGCTGACTTCTCAACACAAACCTGAAAGGCCAGGAGAGCATGGAGTGAAATGTTCTGAGCTCTAAAAGAAAACAGCTTCCAAATCACGTTAATATATCCTGAAAAACTATTTTTCAAAACTGATGGCGAAATACGGTCTTTTCACAAGGAACACCTTAAGAAATTCATGAACACTGAAAAATTCTCAAGGATAATTTAGATAACAATGCCAACAGTGGCAAAAACCTAATGGAATGAACACAAGAGGCAAGCTCAGCAGTTAAACAGAAGGGGAAGGGATAAGCAACAGGAAAATAATACGACAGGAATAGTCAGTGCTTATCAGTACTTAACTCCTAACATGAATGGTCTCAACTCCTCAAACTAAAGACAGATTGGACGACTGGATAAAAAAATACAAAACCTAACAGTATGCTGTATATATGAAATACATTTAGGCTAAGAATTAAAGGATGGAAAACAACATTCCACACAAGCAAGCAAGAACAGCTATTCTATTTTCAGATAAAGTGGGCTTCAAGCCAAAACTGATCAGAGAAAGCATAGAAAATCACCACAAATTGGCCAAGGGAACAATTCAACAGGGAGAGATAATGATTATAAACACACACACACACACACACACACACACACACACACACTCCAAATACTGGCACAATCAACTTTATAAAAAAAGCACTACTGGACATAAAGCATCACAAACATAAAAATAATTATAGTGGGGATAGCAATATCTCACTATCAAAAATAGATTATAAAAGAACAAATATCAGAGTTGAACCACACCTTATAACAGATGGATTTAATAGATGTCTATAGAGTTCTCCATTCAACAACAGAATACATGTTCTGCCTAACGGTACATAAAATTTTCTCCAAAATAGATCACATGTAAGCCTATAAAGCATGCTTAAATAAATGTAAAAGAATGAAAATGATTCCATTCATATTATCAGATCAGAGTGCAATTAAACTAGAAATTAATGGCAGAAGAAATCATAGAAATTATGGAGACACATGGAAATTAAATAGTAGTACCCTCTTGAATAATTGAGGGGTCACAGGAGAAACCAAGGAAGAAATTAGATAGTTCCTAAGATCAAATGATAATTTCAGTGTAATATACCAAAACTTATAGGACACAATTAAAGTACTCAGTCCTAATAGGAAACTTTATAGCTTTGAATGCCCATATCAGAAAAACGGAGTGGGCCCAAATAACCTAATGATGCATCCTACATGCTAGACAAACAACAGTCCAAATCCAAAGCTAGTAGAAGGAAATCATAAGGATCAAAGCAGAAATTAATGAAATTGAGAGTAAAAAAGTAATGAATCAGAGCTAGTTCTTTGAAAGAATATATAAAATAGACAAATCTTTAAACAGTTTTAGAAAAAAAGAAAAAAAAAACCCAAATTGGTGCAATTAGAAACAAAAAAGGTGAAATCACAACAGACACTGTCAAAATCCAGAACATTATTTCATAGTAACTACTTTGAAAACCTATACTGCAATAAATTGGAGAACCCAGAAGAAATGGATATATATATTCAAAACTGCATCAAGAAGACATAAAATCCTTGAATAATCCAGTAACAGAAATCAGAGCAGAAATAAAAACCTATCAACTAAGAAAAGCCCAAGAACTGATGGATTCACTACCGAGTTCTATAAGAACTTCAAGATGATGATGCCAATACTTCTCAAATTCTTCAGTGAAATGGAAAGGGAAGGAATACTGCCAAACTCATTCCTGGAAGCTAGCATTACCTTGATTCCAAAACCAGACAGGGATTCAACTGAAAAAGAAAACTATAGGCAAGTTCTTTGATAAACAAAGATGCAAAAATCCTCAAGAAGATACTAGCAAGCAGAATGCAGCAAAGCATTAAAAAGGTCATACATCATGACTGAGTAGGCTTCATCCCAGGAATGCAAGGATAGTTCAACATACACAAATCAATAAATGTAATACATCACATTAACAGAAGCAAGGACAAACATCATGCGATCATCTCAAGAGATACAGAAAAAAACATTTGACAAAATCCAACATCCATTCATGATGAACACCCTGAAGAAAATATATAGAAGGACCTCATCTCTATATAATAAAATCCATTTATAACAAACCTACTGCCAACATCATATTAAATAGGAAAAGTGGGAAGCTTTCCCCCTAAAGTCAGGAATAAGGCAAGGATGAACACTACCATCACTCCCTTTCAATGGAGTACTCAAAATAGTAGCCAGAACAATCAGGTGAGAGAAAGAAATAAAAGGGATATAGACAGTGAAGGAATAAGTCTAACCATTATTGTCAGATGAAAAGGTCCTCTACAGAGAAGACTCAAAACATCCACCCACCCAGAGACCTCTAAACTAATAAACAGATTCAGTAGTGCAGCAGGATATAAAATCAACACACAGAGATCAACAGTGCTCTTGTATACCAATAAATATCTCACTCAGAGAGAAATTAGGAAACAAATACTATTCACAATAGCTTCAAGGAAAATTAAATACTTGGGAATTAACCTAAGCAAGATGTGAAAGATCTCTACAACAAAAACTATAATATTCTTAAAACAGGAAACCAAAGAGGACATTGGAAAATGGAAAGACATCCCCTGTTTCTTTATAGGCAGAGCCAATATTGTCAAAATAGCCATACTTCCAATAGCTTTATATAAATTTAATGCAATCCCAATGAAAATAGCAAGAACATTCCTCACAGAACTAGAGAAAACAAACCCAAATTTCATATGGAGCCGGAGGCAACCCAGAATAGCAAAAGCAGTCCTGGGTGGGGCTGGGGATTTAACTCAGTGGTTCCACTGCCTGCCTTCAAAGCACAAGGTCCCAAGTTTAATCCTTGGTTCCAAACAAACAATCTGTGAGCAAAAGCAATCCTGGGCAACAAGAGCAGAGTAGGAGGCATCACAATCCCAGATTTCAAATTACATTCAAAGCTACTATAATAAAACAGCAGGGGGCTGGCACAGAAACAGACATGAGGACCAGTGGAGCAAAATAGAGGACATAGAAACTACCTTATGCACATCCAACTCTGATCTTTGACAAAGGAGCCAAACACACATGCCGACAGGAAGACAGCCTCTCAATAAACCGTGCTGGGAAAACTGGCTATCCACATGTGGAAGGTGGAGCTGGACCCACATCTGTCACAATGCACTAAACTAAGATCAGAATGGCTCAAAGACCTAAATGCTAAAACAGAACACTTACTCTCCTGGAAAACGACAGAAGAAATAATACCAAGACTCAACAAATGAGATTATATCAAATCAAAGAGCTTCCGCACGACAAAGGAAACGACCAAGAGAGTGAAGGGTGGCCTTCTGAAGGGGAAAAATATTTTGCCAGCTACTCCTGCAATAGAGGACTAAACATTGAATACATGTTTTAAAAAGGACTCTTCAAAATGAAAAAAAATCCAATAAATTGGGCAACTGAAATGCATAGACACTTCTCAGGAAAAGAAGGACAAGTAACTAATAAATACGTGGAAAAATGTTCCATGTTTCTGGTCACTGGAGAAAATACAAATTAAAACAACCCGGAGATTCCATCTCACTCCAGGAGGAATGACCGTCATCAATAAGTCAAATAACAAATGCTTGGGAGGTGGTGGAGAAAAAGGAACCCTTCTACATTTTTGGTTGGAAAGTAAACTAATACAACCTATGGAAATCAGTATGGAGATTCCTCAAAAACCTGAAACTAGAAGCTCCACTCAATAAGCTATTCCCTTTTTAGGTATCTTCCTGACAAAGTTAAAGACATCATTGTACAGTGATCCATGCATGTCCATGTTTATAGCGGCACAATTCACAATAGCTAAATCTTAGAAGCAGTCTATGTGTCCATCAACAGATAAGTGGATTAAGAAAACAGTATTCACACACAATGGAGCATTACTGGGCCATAAAGAAGGATAATCTTGAGTCATGTGTGGGAAAATCGATGCACCCTGAGACCGTAGCGTTAGAGACAAGTCAGACACAAAGCTTATGTTATAAATATCACAGTTTCCCTTATATCAGAAACCCAAATTATAAATAAAGAGCAAAATAAGATAGATACTAGGAAACGGGGCATAGATCTTTTTGCAAAAGGGAAGGGACCCAGGAAACGGAGGGGAGGGGGCCAGGGAGGGGGAGGGAAGTAGGAAGGAAGCTGTCACATCCACGCACCAACTCCCCACAGGATGCGACCTTCAGGCCCTGCAAACAAGACTAAAACATGGAAAAAGAAGCACCAGCCCCCCCACCCTACTCAGCATAACGATTCTGAATGACTGCGTGTGAGTTTCATGTTTACTTAATTGACAAATCTGTGTGTCACAAAGACACACACGCGCTAAGAAGTGGTGCTTTGCTGCACGGTAAAGAACGCCACTGACTGAGTCCACAGACTGCCTGAATCCCCTCCTGGGGTTCCATGGCTGGGAGGGGACCCTGCTCGGCACCGCACCCTCCCTGGCGGGGCCTCCCTGGCGGGGCACGGGCCCTACTCTCACGGTGGGGCCTGTGCTCTTGCCTGGCCTGAGGCCTGAGTTCCGCATAGGGACGTCTCTGAGGTTCATGAGGGAGAAGCAAACATAAAAGAGCTGGAGAGTGAGCCTGGGAGAACTGGTTCTGCCCTGTGAAGAGCCTCAGGGGTCACGGCGCCTCTTCCTCTGTGAAGAGGCTGCTCCACCTGCCCTCGGGTTTGGAAAGCTCTGTCACCAGGACCTGGGACTGGGGGAGGAAGGGTCCTTTTGTCCCCTCCCTGTCACTCATGGACTCGGGCTTTGGACACAAACCTGATGCCTGTGTGTGGTCCCCCGTGCTGGGCCTTGCTGGAGATGCCCTTGCTCCTGTGTCCCACTGGGCCTGGCTGACACCAGCAGACCCTGAGCCTTCCCTAAGCCCATTGTTTCCTGAAGGTCCCTTCTCTGTCCTCGCAGGCAACACCCCGGGCTCTTGGAGAGGGCTTTTGGGGTGAGAGACCCCACTCACCTGATGGTAGTAGGCTATGGGGACGCCGATGGTGAACTTCATGGGGACCGCAGCGAGCCCCCTCTTCTTCCAGTAGCTCTGCCTGTTGAAGTCCTCCGCAGCCTGCTTCCGGGCGTGGAAGGACGACCGCTCCAGACACTGCTTCCAGCACTGGCGCAGGGGCTTGGGGTTGAACGTCTGCTTGTAGGCTGTCTGGCTTGTCCTCTTGTACATGTTTATTTCTCTCACCTGGAAGATGAGGACACCCACGGGTCTCAGGATGGGTCTGTCACACATGTGCTGTGGGGAGAGCTTTCTAAACAGAGAAGCAGCTGTTTAGACAGCCCCAGTGACAGGTGCAGGGTGTGCATGCAAAGCAGCCCGGGTAACAAGAACAGCACTGGACACCGCGACCGCTGCTGGAGTGCTTCCGGCTCCAGACCCAGGGCTTCTCTCATGCCGTGTGGGGGCCCCCTGAGGCCCAGCTGGCAGGTTCCCATCCCTGTCTGGGGCTAAGGGCTGCGGTTAAGCGCTCCTGACCAGAATCCCTTATTCACACATCGCAGCCTCACCCCTAACCCTTCGGTGCTTAACACTGCTGACCACCAGTCCCCTGCTTCTTGGTCCTGCGTAGTTTCACCCAGCTCTGGGGTCAGCTCTGTGCCTCAGGCCTTGCCACCTTCTTGCTGTGCTAGGGCCTGGCTGGCCTTGGCTGAGGGCTGACACCTCCAGCCTTCCTGCTGAGGAACCTCAGGCATGGCAGCCCGGGCCAAAGAACTCCAGAGGCGGAGTCGCTAACCCGCAGAGAGGAAGCAGCATCACTGTCTCAAGCCCCCCGGGCTTGGCCGTCTTCCTGCAGCTGCCCTTGGCAGCAAACGGGCGCTGTGCTTTGTCTGAACCCATTGGGCTCAAGGCGCACTTGGGCTGGCGCCTCGGTGTTTTCTTTGGGACCCTGAGCCTTTACCTCTTCAGGGAGCAGGCCACAGTGAGCTGCGACCGAGGCCATGTACGCCTCCACCACCACAGTCGCCTGGGGAAAGCCGAAGCCCCGGAAGGCAGTGTTGGACGGAAGGTTTGTTTTGCAGGCCCTGCCCCGGCACCGGAAATTGGGGATGTGATATGCGTTTTCAGATTTCAGCACGATGAACTCCAGCACCTGCACGAAGCAAAGCAGTACAACTTCATCTCCGTCCAACTCAAAGCCACGTAGCTGAATTGTACTTTTGATTTAAACCCCCACAGCCATTGTCTGATCTGCAAGGAGGCTCCCAAGCCAGCACAGCTGGCAGAGAGCGCCCAGGCCGCACGGCAGGAGGGAGGGCACTCGCTGCTCACCAGCTGGGACTCATCCGGGGTGCAGCCGCCATTGATGTAGAACTCCAGGTCCGCAGCCTTGATGAGCCCGCTCTTCATGAAGCCAATCTGCAAGGGAGAGGAGGCTGGCAGCTTTCCCTCAGCCCACCCACGCTCAGCCACAACATGCTGGGCCACGTGTGTCGCACCACACTCAGCTGTGCCTGGGCCGGTCCTCTCGGGAACATTATGGACGGCTGAGTAGAAAGTGAGTCTAGGCAGCACCCAGCTGTCCCTTTGTAGAGCGAGGAACTCAGCAACCGTCTTTGCTGTGGACCGGTCAACACAGGGCAATGTCTGGCATCTGGCCTCACTCACCTTGTATCTTCCGAGGAGTGGATGGCGGCCGGCTGTGATCAGCATGTCATCCCCTCGCTCCAGCACAAACCGGATTGGGCGGCCAGTCCTGTGGGAAAGGTGCTCATTAGCAGGAATTGCACCGCATAGCAGAGACATGGGTGGGGAAGGTGACTTGGCCTAGTGGTTCTCCTTGGGGTGGTAACAAACCTCACACAACACCCCAAGCTGTAGGGGGCGCTAAAGTTAACAAACGCATTTTCTGCCCAGTCATGCTTGAATTTCCCATGTTGTCCTGGAGCATTGTTTGGTTATGAATGATTCCCTCTTATTTCTTTTTTATACTGCATTGGAGAGTTGTAAATCATTTTGCAGTGAAGTGTAGAATTCTGAATAGGATTTGGTCTTATGAATTCACTTTGAGATAGTAAAGGGGGTGTTCAAGTATTGCCCCCAGGGGACGCGGGGCAGAAAGCCTGAGCCCAGCTCAGGCCCCACAGTTGGACTCTGCTTCAGTCAAATCTGCCCCAAAGTTGCAGTTTGCCAGGATCCTGCCAGCCTGCACGCCTGCTGCTCACGCGGTTTCCCGGGTTAGAGTGAGCCGTATCCCTGCCCAGGGCCAGTTATGCTCATTCTCCAGTGCCTCAGTGACTTTGGTACCCACAGGTTCTGTGCGAGACTGAGGCACATTGAGCACTGCCAGGTGAGCAGGGCCCTGGGTTGGCGATGACATGGCCCATGGGCAGCTACTGCCAGGGATGTGGGCACTGTGACTCTTACTTGTTGGCAGCCACAGCAGCAACGGCGCCCAGCAGGGCTGGCTTGGTCATCTTGCCCCCAAATGCTCCTCCAGCTCTCCGCATGTGGCAGGCGATTCTGCTCCTTGGGACATTTAAAGCTGCGGCCACGAACTCCTACAGGAGGGAGACCTCCAGGCGCTGAGTGTGGTCTGACAGCTGTGCAGTCCCCATGAATGCGCAGGAAAAGGAACCAGCACGCGACGCATGCTGCTGTTACACGGCTGTGCAAAGATCTCCAGCAAGACATCCCCAGCAAGCCCAAGAGACCTCGCATCCCTTAGGCAGCCCCTCCTGTCCCGCACCCTCCCAACCCTGTCTCCGCAGTTTGCCTGTTCTGACATTTCAGGGAAAAGGGATTATATAACACGTGGTCTTGGGTAACTGGCTCATCTCACGGCATAACGTGTCCAGGGTAATTCCTGTTGTGGCATGTACACAGCGGTTCCTGGCTAGGGAACATTCCGTGTGGCCGTGCTGGCTTTCGTCTGTCTGTTCTCCGGTCCGGGGACACGGGCTCCACCTGTGGCTCTTCTGAATAAAGCCGCTGTGGACACCACGTAGTGGTCTTCGTGCGGATGCATCTTCCTTTCTCTTGGCAGAGACTCAGTTGAGGAGCTGCTGAGTTAAGGCTGCTCTCGGTACCAGCCTGGGGAGCGACCCTGCCTTCCACAGGGGTGCCGCGTTCTCGCCCATCAGCCGTGCCCGAAGGTCTCGGCTTCTTTCTCTGCATCTCTGCCAGCACGGCTGTCGCCTGTCCTTGGGATTCCAGCCGCTCTGGGGGGTGTGGGGCAGCATCTCCTCATTCTAGGTGCATTTCCATGGTCACAGATGACGCCGAGCCTCTCGTCACCCCGGGGACGCATGCGGGTGCGGCCGCCGAGGTGGACCGGGAGACAGGGCAGCCTTGGAGCAGGTGGTCAGCACGGGGCCCGGCCTCACACACGTGTGTGTGTGTCCTGAGGGAGCTGCACACGCGGGTGTGTGGGGTAAGGGGACCTGGCCAGTGCTCCGGAGGGCATGACCTTGTTCCTGGGTCACTTTGACAGTCGTGCCCACCCCCCACCGCTATCCACAGCGGCAGGGGTCCCCGTCACCCTCCTGTTCCTGTCACCCATTACCTGCACATGGGTGGGAAACTGGGTGCCCAGATGCAGCGCCATCTCCTTGTCTTCGTCCCCCGGGATGGCCAGGATGGTCTGTGTCTCCATGTAGAAGTGCTCCTGGCCCTCCACGTGCACCTCGCCTGGTGGAACAAGAGGACTCAGTTGCTCCCCAAGGTTCGAGGGGGCTTTGTTTGTAGAGTGAGCTTCAGTTTTACAGCCTTGGGTGGACACTTCCAGCCCCATCTGTGCCCTATCAGCCTCGCCCTGCTGGCCTGGCTTCCCCGCCGGTGGGGGAGGTGTTGGACCGTGAGGTGTGGGACCCGAGCCCAGCCCTGAGCTGTGTCTCCAGCCCTTTTTACTTTTTTATTCTGAGACATAGTCTCACTAAGTGGTCCGAGCTGGGCTTAAACTTGCAATCTTCCTGCCTCAGCCTCCCAAGTAGCTGGGATTACATACATGTGCTGCATACCCAGCCTAAAGCAAATTAATTTTTATGTAGTGTATTATAAAGACTATAAAACTGTTAAATAAATAAAATTATTTATTAATTCTTTTTTGTTGTTTTTTTGAGACAGGGTCTCACTATGTAGTTGAGAATGACCTGGAACTCACTATGTAGCCCAAGCTGGTCTCGAACTCACAGCGATCCTCCTGCCTCAGCCTCCCGAGTGCTGGGATTACAGGCATGCGCCACCACGCCCAGCTCCTATTAAATAAATATTTTAAATAAAAATTTTTTAGGCCAGGAATTTGGCTAGAAGTTTCTACTGTCTGCCTCACAAGCACAAGGTCTGAGTTCAATCCCTGGTACCAAAAAAAAAATTTTTTTTAAACAGGGGAAAAGTTTTATTTCATATACATATTGGGGATTTGCTCCCAGGAATGAATAGAAAAACCCTAAGGCCTGAAAAATTGTATGCTGTTTTAACTAGAGGTAATATATTTTTGGAGCAGTGATAAATAAATGAAGAGCTTTGAGCTTCTGGTTAAACATGGAAAGATAGATGTATAGGGGAAACTCAAAGAAGATGTGGTTTAGCTTAGGAAGTTCTGTTCCACAGATTCCTCTCAGTGCTGTCCCTGGCTGGTGGGGTCTGGAGCTGGAGCTGTCTCCTGTTCTGAGGTTTCAGGTATGGGGGTGGGGCAGCATCTCTGCGTCTATCACCCAGCTTACCTGTTCATCTATGCATCTCTGCCGTCTATCACCCAGCTTACCTGTTCATCTATGCATCTCTGCCGTCTATCACCCAGCTTACCTGTTCATCTATGCATCTCTGCCGTCTATCACCCAGCTTACCTGTTCATCTATGCATCTCTGCGTCTATCACCCAGCTTACCTGTTCATCTATGCATCTCTGCGTCTATCACCCAGCTTACCTGTTCATCTATGCATCTCTGCGTCTATCACCCAGCTTACTTGTTCATCTATGCATCTTTGCCGTCTATCACCCAGCTTACCTGTTCATCTATGCATCTCTGCGTCTATCACCCAGCTTACCTGTTCATCTATGCATCTCTGCGTCTATCACCCAGCTTACCTGTTCATCTATGCATCTCTGCGTCTATCACCCAGCTTACCTGTTCATCTATGTATCGTGGTTCTAGGGATTGAATTGAATCCAGGGCCTTTTATTCAGCGTCAACATCAGTCTTTTTTTTTTGTTAAATTTTGAGACAGACTCTTGCTGGTTCACTAAATTGCCCAGGCTAAGTTCAAACTTGCAGTCCTGCTGCCTCAGCCTCCCAGAGTGCTGGGATTACAGGCGAACACCCCTACACCCCACTTCCTTTCTTTTAGGTAAAAAGGAGAAAGGTAGCTTTCTTTGTGCCTGCTATTTTTCAGTTGCCTTCTGTTAGGAAATTGTACATGTCACTTTAAACTCCTCCATTTTATACCTGACTTCCGGGTTCTTCCTAACTTAAATTTCGTTTTCCCAACTTAAGTTTCGTCCCCCCCCCCCCCCCCCCGCAGTTGAATTCTTCCCAGAAATGACGCCAACATCTGATAAGGGACTCCTGCAGGACTAAGACCTTATAAGGCAATGTGGCCTGCAATAGGTTAAAAAACAGCTAATTCCCCTAAAATTGCAAAACTCCCACCCAAGACCCTATAAATGAGCCAACACTCCTTCCCTTGGTACCCGCCTCCCTTTCTTCGCCTCCAGGCCTTTGTGCCTCGCCTGACTCCCTTCTCGGGTGCCTGAGTGACCTGATTGGGAGGGGCGCCCCAAGGGGCACGCGCGACCCCTTTCACCTTCAGGTCAAAATAATCCTTATGCTAGAGTGGCATATTTTAAAACCCAAATTTATTTATTTAACAGTTATATAGTCTTTACAATACACTACATAATTTTCTAAAGCTTAGCCCTTTACAGACAATTTGATCCTTGTACCAATCTGATGAGCCATGTCCCATCACCTACATCATGCTAAGTGGGGGTGCTGAGACATGGGAAGGTCATGTCAGCTGCCCAAGGTCACGGAGGCTCAGTGGGAAGACTGGGATCAGACCTGGGCTACCTGACCTCAAGAGCCACACGTTTTTTTTTTTTTTTTTTTTTTTGGTACTGGGATCAAACTCGGGTCCTTGTGCTTGCAAAGCAGACAATGGAACTACTGAGCTAAATCTCTGGCCCAAATCCACACTCTTAGCCACCACACTGCACCTCTTCTCCATGCCGGATGCCCTGAGACTCTCAGTTATTCAGTCCCAACTCCCTGCACGATTCAAATATCTCACCGTGTCAAAGTTCTAAACTTTCACAATTGGCAACATGTGAGCAGCAAAGATCCCAAATGACACTTGATCAATCTGCTGCCCTTTAGGTGAGAATAAAACTGAAGATCGTCCCCCATCATCAGTCATCCAGTTTAAAAAATCCAATTAAAAGCACAAGGCTCCAACACACATCTGTTGTGGTTTATACCTACAGTCCTCCCAAGTCCTCATGTACTCCTTGGTGGGGCTTAGGGAGGTGACTGGATCATGGGGTGTGATAATCATCAGTGGAGTCCACTGATGAGTTTGTATCTAAGTGTGATGTTGGGAAGTGAAGTCTGGGTGGAGGAGGTGGTCACTGGGGCATGGCCTGGAAGGTCTATCTCCCTCCTCTTCTTTGAGCTCTCCCTGCCCCCGTCCACCATGCCATGGACTGTTTCCTCTCTACCATGCTGCTTTGCCTTGGAGTCAGCTGATTATGGACTGAAACCTCTTTAGACTATGAGCCAAAATTACCCTTTCCTCCTTATAGTTGTGGGTGTTGAGAATCGTGTCTCAGCCATGAGCAAGTAATTAAGATAACAGCTATCAAGGGCCAGGGATTTATCTTAGTGGTGCAGTGCCTGCCTCGAAAGTACAACGTCCCGAGTTTGAGCCCCATATGAGGAAAAAAAAAAGATAACACCTATCAGATTAGATAAAACTAAAAGGCTAGCAATATCAATGGAATGCCCTTAACTGCTAACAGGAGTACAGTCACACAAACTTTATTGTTATTTTAAAATATTTGGTGTAAACTACTCAAGCTAAGCATATCAATATGCTATTATTCAGCAATTTACCCCTGGGTCGATTTCATTAGAAAGAAGCGCTGAGTTCACTAAAGGACAAGCATCATGGTGTGTACAGAAACTATTCAGAAGACTACCAAACCGGCAACAACTGAGGCATTCATTGTTAGCAGAAAGGAGAAGTAAACTACAGAATTTGTGTGCAGTGGGTACCACTAAACAATGGAGAGGGCCGCGGATCTAGCAGCCAGTGTGGATGACCCTTCCACACATAATGTTAAGAGACAGGCATGGAAGGGCTACACCGTAAGATTCTGTTTTTGGTACCAGGGACTGAACTCAGGACCTCGTGAGGCAGGCATGGCACCACTGAGCTAAATCCCTGGCCCAGTAAGGTTCATTCTAATGGGAAGTTCAAAGCCAGTGAGATAAACCCATAGCAGCTGAAGTTAGGTGACATTAATGTGCAGCAGGCTTTCAGATAATACAATGGACCCTTGACTTGTGAATTTAATTCATTCCTGAGGGCTGGTTGTAACTCAAGTTGCTCAGCGAAGGCTCAGGCGCCTCTACATGGCCTTCAAAGTCTCTCTCCTGTACACAGGCAGATCTCAGTGTCCTTAGGGACACTGGCCCAGGATTTCTCAATGAACCCCACACAGGAAAGCTTGCTGTCGTGTTCCTTCCAGAAGTCTTTAAGGGTTAAATCTGTATCTGAGACCATGGAGAACCATAAGCAGCCAGCATTCAGGTTGTAACTCAAGACTTTGTTCTTAAATTAAAACTAAAATTCCAGGCATAACCCAAATTGTTCGTATGTCAGGCCTGTCATAATTCAAGGGTCCACTGTACTTTGAGGGTACAGGTGGCCAAGGGGTGTGAAGATGTTCTCTGCCTTGCTGTGAGTGGGACCACACAGGTCCTACAGCTACAGAAACACCCAGCAGGACACCTGTGCTTTTCAGCTGTTGTTAACAACCTCTTAGCTACTTGTGTGTGCCCTGGGGTTTCGTTGTACCCCAGTACAGGTCTGGGAAGATCCTTTAACTCCGCAGCTTTTGCTGTGACCCCAGGTGCTGCACTCACCTTCAATGATTTGGTCCACGTGTTTAAAGGCCTGCTCCACATTTCCTTGCTCAATTTTCCTCTCCGGAGAAAGAAACGAATTGTGCTCCAGGGCTTGCTACAGGAAAAAACAAACAAACCAAAACAAAATAATCCTGTTTTTTGTTTTTTCATTCTAAGAAGACATTAGTTTCCACAGGGAGCTAGGCTCTTGCTATGGAATCTCCACATACTGGACAATGGGGCCCGGAGGACTAAGAGAGGGGACGCTGGTTTCAGTGCAGCAGGGGGTTGGCAGCTCATCCTGCTGAGGGCTGGGGAGTGCGGGGGTGGGGTGGGGTGAATGGCCCGGCCCTGACTCTGACCTTGAGTGACTGTCTGTCCCGGGTGTGAGGTAATAAGGTGCCACCTCTGAGGTGAGGGGACAGGATAAAGAGAAGGCAAGGAGGAGGAGGCCACGGGGCCTGCAATGCTCAGGGCGGCCTCTTGGCCTCTCCTGTCCCCCAGAAGGGCACTCGAGCCGCCTGCAGTCAGGGACACACCACGGAGCAGCAGCGTGGGGTGGAAAACCAGTGAGCGGCCAACCTGAGGACAGGCGCCCATAGGGTCTCCACCAGTAACCGCTGAGGGTGGGCGGAGGATGGGCTGTGAAAGACCCTGGTTCTGTGCTGTGGGGCGAGGACCTGGGCCAGGGACACCGCACAACCTCGCGGCCTGGGAGCGTGTGGTGGCAGACGACAGCCTCTTTGAGGGTCATTGAGGCCGGGCGAGTGAGGGGAAAGGAACGAGGGAGCGGAGGGGCATGGAAAGGAACCCGGCAGGGACTGGAGCTGCTGGGGGAGACCACGGGGGCGGAGACGCCTCCGCCTAATCCGTCCGCCTGTCCGCCTCATCCGTCCGCCTGTCCGCCTCATCCATCCACCCGTCCGCCTCATCCATCCGCCTCCGCCTCCCTGCTGTGCGTCCGCCTGGCCTCACAGGCCCCAGCACAGCTACGCCCAGCACAGCTACGCCCTGCACTGCTCGCCACCCGCGACGCTGACAGCCCGCAGCCTGGCCCTCGGCAGAAGCGGGAGCACCTTTCTCTGTGGAGTACTTCACATTCATGAAACTGACCGCTTTCGCTTTAAACGGCTAAGCGGCGAGAGAAGCTGTTTCCCGGGGAAAACTGCACTTTAAACGGCAGAAGCCCTCGGC